CGTGAAATGAAAAGGATATTTTGATTTGGAAATGGTAGAGAACCTGGTGTGTGAGTTGATTCTCAACTCACTTGCAAGGTCATGTCAAAACCTCAGACTCCAATTTCCTTTTGGGACAGAGATGGCTAATGTTCATCTTCCTTGCCCATTTATTGGGGACAGCATATTAAAGGTAAAGTGTGGTTTAAACCAAAACATCCAGTGTGAATGGCTTATTGCTGCTACATGCCCAGTGTAAGTAGAGTTGAGGAGATACTGGCATCATTAATGAGTATCTAATAACAACAAAACACATAGAGGTGACCACAAAGACACACTATGGGCACATGGCTCTTTGCAGACAGAGCTCTCTAGACAATAGAAATGAAAGTGTATGCTCAAAAGTAACTCAGTTGGCTAAGATGATTCTACCTTTTTTCCCTTAAGAACATCTCTGCATATATTCTTAAGTGAACCACACACTAATTGCTTGCAAATAGTCACCCACTGATGACCCCATATTCTTGTATTTTCACATACATAGAAAGTTGTATAAACTGTTGATTTTTATAAAGAATTGAAAAGTGAAACCTAATAGGTGACTAGTATTTATGTAGAAACCATCCTCCTTGGCAAAATCCAGCACCTGTTCCATCAGTACCACATGGATGCTTGCAGGCTAAGCTGCAGTTCCACTCTCCACCACTGAGTGTGTAGCTTTACTATGTGAGCTGTCATTTCAATGACAAAACTGAAGTGTCTGATCTCTGTTATGGACCAGTTACGTGACATCTGAAATACGGGTGAAAAACCGTCTTTCAAGTATCCTGTTTCCATTTCCCCTAAGTCCTTGAGAATGTTTTCCATGAGTGTTTTTGGTGATGTTTTAGCATGTGGAAAATAGTTAAGTAACAGACCACTGGTTGCTGGATTTGTACAGTAAACAATCTATCCTAGGAAAGGCTAGGACTGTGGGCAAAGTAGATAAGACTTTTCACTTCCAGATCAAGGATTTGATACCAATGTGACGTTGGGGTGTTACTTAACCTCATGAAGTCTCTTTGTTAGAGACTCGTCGCTTTGCAAATGTGTCATAAAAATTAGAGAAAAGCACAGACAGGGAAATACAAGGAAGGAAACTGGCAAACTGTTGTAAATGCATCCTAATAAGGTAATAGAATTCTAAAATGCCAGACAGGCTTTCAAATGGGTGTGGCACTATGAAGTCAATATATGAAGGCTCAGAAACAGATTCGATGTTCAACATTATCTGCTTGTGCTGTGCAGGCAAAGCACAGAGTGAGCCGATGAGGGTAAAGTGAGGGACAGTGACAGGCTATCTGACCACACAGAGCACATAGATGGGATGATAGTGAACAGCATACAGAGAATTAAAGCAGTGATGAGAATGGAGGACCTCCTCACGAAGTCCTGGGGACGGCATGTGAGATGGGGTAGAGAGAGACCTCTATACTAACACACCATGATGGCTCTGGGGAATGGTCCTGGAAATCAGAGTGCTGGGACTTAACCTTCGAGGATGGTGAAGCTTCTCAAAGGTGGAATCCTAGCTGCCTCTGAACCAATGAGGGAGAGAGAGCATCTGTTCTCTGAAAGGACTGGGCCAAAGCATAGATTTTCATACCAACTCACAAATAAACATATACACGTGGATAAGTATGTGTGTGGATGATGACTGAATAATGGTGATAAAGAGGTTGACACCTTTAGATGTGTCATGAATACTGTTTTAAGCATTCTTTATACTGATATAATCTCCCTATCAATCAGCGATACATACGGTCATATCAGTGAATGACTGTCCCCAAGTTGACAAGGGCAGGACACAGGGAACTGGCTTTGCTTCATGGGCACACAGCTATTTTACAGTCAGACACTGCACTGCCTCCCTGACTCGTGTGGGTGCTTATCTCATCCAGGCTCCCTTCTAGTGTCAACACACCATGCAGTGCCTATTGTGCTCTACTTTGCTTGGCTACATGGAGACAGAAGATGTAAGATTTTGGGGTTTTTTAATGTTGGGGTTATTTTTGTTCTCTATTTGTCCTCCACAGAGTACCTTTTTCAAATGATAAATTTCACATAAAATTGCATAATTATGATTCTCTTGATTAAAGGCAAAACAGAACATCAGACACAATGAGTCTTATCCCATGGCTTGCCAACTATTAGCCAGTGCTGCAGTCTGGGCCTCTCCATGACCCAGGATCCTCCCCTTCCTTACTACCCCAGATCTAACTTGACATTTGATCCCCTGTCTGATTTCTGTGTTTTGTGTGTGTGACCCTTAGGTATATATACATTTGTATGGCAGAAGAAGAGACCAAACTATCCTCTGGGTTCAAAAAGTCTGGGTTCAAACTCTCAGTTCCCAAGCTCTGGTTTTCATGGGTAAATTCCTGGATCCCTCTAAGACTCAACTTTCCCAAATCAGAAATGGGACTGCTAAGAGTGATGCTGTGAAATAAATGATGCATTGTGTGAAGAGAATTAAACTGCTATTGCAGCTTTCATTAAGACACACCAGGAAGCAAGGATGTTTCCACCACTGGAAGTCATCAGGTTGAGTACAGAAAAAGAGGCTGTGTGTTGACTGAAGAAAAGCAAAGGAGAGGAACAGATTGAAGAAACACTTCCTTGGACCCACACAGCTTGCTCTGGGGCAGGAGTCCTGCTCAGTGAGATAATAGAGGAGAGTTTACTGCAACTGCTTCAGGTGAAATGATATGGCTTCACTATCTACTTAAAAATACTGTATCCCATGTAAACACTGTATCACAGGTTTGAGGAAATGGACCCATGGTTTCTCCTTTATTCGGTGTGTTTTCGAGGTCTTCAACAAATCCCCTACAGTCTCATTTATCAGGACTTTCCCTGACCCCCATCACCTGCATAGTGAACCCTGAGTGGACCCTGTCGCTGGGGTCTCTGCCTGGTAACTGGGGTACTTATCCACAGCTAAGTATCTGACCTAGCTAAGCTAAGGACTTGGTACTTTTATGCCTGTGCACTCACAGCTGTGAGGATCAGACATTCCAAATGCTACTGCCCAATGCCACATCAACATCACAGTCTGCTGCTGTGTCCAGCACAGCTCTCGGGGCAGACTAGACTAGGGTAATGAGAGAACACAAAAGACGAACACTGGGAGACCCAGATGCACAGACAGGCTGAGATGGGGTGGAGTGGGGTCTCTGATGGAGAAGCTGCAGGAGCCTGGGATCTCAGTGTGTTTATTATATGCATTGAACGGAGGGGTGGAGTCATTGCACACAGCTAAACATGGAGGTAATTACACACAGATAAGTAAGGAGGCAGGGTTATGGCACACAGCTGATGAAGAAAACAGGTTTAGTTAATCTTGGTAGGAGCAGTCTCTGTAAGGGAGCAGTCTTCAGGTTGTAAATATCTGTAGACATTTTCTATATACACTATCAATGCATGTGCATGGACCAGGGAGAGACTTTGCTGTCCCTCTGAACCTCACCCAATAAGCAGGAAGGCCTTGCCATTTTCCAGTGGGTCTGAGGCTTTAGGGTCCTTGACATGGCCAGCTCCTGGCAACAGCACACACTCACTCATGGCTTCACACACTCAAGGATTCCTCCACCTCCCATAGTCTGCTACTGAGCTATCGCGTGGAACCTGCTCATCAGCTGCCCTTATATTTTATATAGAAGGTTGGCGAGCCTTTTCTCCACATAAATATTTAGGTTCTAGAAGCTACCCTTCCTGTATCCATGCACACAGCTATAAACAACAGGCATAGAGGAGGTAGCCTGGGTTTTACCAAACTTTACTTATGGACAGTGAATTTAAGTGTCAGAGAATGACGTGGGTCACACAGTGGTATTCACCTTTTTACTCCCCCCCCCCCAGTGATTTGGAAACATGAGAACCACTCAGGGCAGGGCAGCATGGAGCAAGCAGAAGGCAGTGGCAGCACTAATTTGGGTACCACTACTCTCAGTACAGCCCCTGAGGGTCTGCTGTCCTTCTTACTCTTGTTATGATTAGCAGTAAGTTGTCACTTAATTGAGCAACCTCAGTGCACTGTTCCTAGATGAACCCTCTAGTGTATTCTGACATGTGTAGCCAAGCTGCCACCACACAAGTACAATGTGGCACATTTCCAGTACTCAAAGATGTTCCTTCAGAGTCTCCTCCATAAAACACCCCCATCACATTATGAGTCCATTATTTCTATAAATTACCTCTACCCAGCCTTTCCTCAGGTCTGAGCTGAAAAAAAGATGTAGGGTGTGTGTGTGTGTGTGTGTGTGTGTGTGTGTGTGTGTGTGT